TTTCTAATCAGCTGGCCTTAAAATAGGGACATTATGCTGGATTCTCCAGGTGGCCCAATGTGATCACATAAGCCCTTAAATTTAGAAAAAGGTTGAAGAGCCAGTGAGAGATACAAGGCAGAAGAAGTCTGAGAGTTTTGAAGTGTGTGAAGTACTCAGTCTGCCTTTGATGACTTCGAAGACTAGAAAGAGGCCATGAGCCAAGGAATGAAGGCAGCCTCTGGAAGCTAAGTGTGCCTCTCCCCTTCCCCCCATTTCCTGGAAACCAGCAAGGAAACGGGGATCTCAGTCCTACGAGGGTGCAGAAATTAATGTTGCCAGCCATCTGAATGGGTTTAGAAGCAGATTCTTCTCCAGAGCCTCCAGAAAGGAACATAACCTTCCCAACATTCTGATGTTTGTCTTGTGAGACCTGAAACCCAGGAGCCAGCTAAGCCATGCTGCACCCAGGCTTCTGACTCACAGTCACTGTGAGATAATAAATGGATGTTGTTTTAAGCAGTTAAATTTGTGGTAATTTGTCTGGAGAGCAATGAAAGACATGTAAAACTCAGCTTAAAATGGCTAAAAATCTAGATAAATCAATTTTCTAATTAATAGTTAACAGATAACTACATGATGATAGGATCACAGTTAAGGAAGGCCTTAGGTTGACTGATTCTGTAACCCAGTGACATCATCAAGAACTGGGGTTGTTCCCATCTCACTTTTCTGCCAACCTTGGTGTTTGCTTCATCCTCATGCTTATAAGGAGAAGGCAGCAGCAGTTTTGTGCATTTCACAAATACCAAAATATGTAGATCTAAAAAGAAATCCTTTTTTGGTGCTTTTTCTTTATGAGGGAAGAAGTCTGTCACATGACTACTGGTCTGTGTCAGAGTTTCCTTGTTGTTCCCAAAAATCCACCTTCCTCTTCTTCCTCAGTAGCAAAACTCAGATTTTTATAATAGCTGGACACAGGACTGCCCAGAAGAAAGCTTTTTATGACTAGGCATATAAGAAGAGTTGGGAAGTAACCTTAAAGGAAGATAGTTTTATTCTTGTGTTTTGTTTTTATATAACAAAGCGATAAAAATGTTTCTCTTGAGGACAAGTTAACTCATTGAAAATGCTGCCTACATTTGACTTTTAATTGGGTCCTTGTGGGGTGAGGTCAGGCCAACTGATGTTATTATCCCTCTTTCAGAGACCGAGAGAGGAAATGAGGACCTGAAGGCATCTGGCCCAGTATTGGGAGCTGGGACGACAGCCAGGACTCTACTGAGAAGAGGGTGCCTTAAGGACTATTTAGTTGGCACTTTAACTCAAATAGTTCCATAAATGTTGTTTTTGAGCTTGCATCCATGTCCTTGATCTCATCAGGTGGCCGTCTGGTTCTGTCCACTACAGTCTTGTTGCTCGCCCAGGGCAAGGACATAGATTGGTGCATCTTTGAGGTTTCTTTCAATTATTTTATTCTATTTATTCATGCATTTTAAAACTAGGAAGCTGTGTGGCTTTGGAATCCTGTGGACCTGGAATCTGCTATTACACAAGAAGTGACCTTGCAGGATCACTTAATATGCCTCAGAGTCAGTTCCTTTATCTATAAAACGAGGTTGCTGTGAGAATGACATATGTTAAAGGATGCAAACCATTTAGCATCATGCTTGGGTACCCCATGTCCTAACTGTGTATAGTTCTGCCAGTTCTATCTTCAAAACATTGCCTATCTAGAAGTTAACCAGTTTCACCACTTCTCACCTACCCACTCAGTCAAAGCCATCACTTCCCCGTCAGGGGCAGTAACAGCTGCTGTCTAAACTATGTTCCCACCCATTCCTCTCCTCCACTTTATTGTCAACATAGAGGCCAGAGTGAAACTTTAAAATGCAAGTTACATTATAATGAAACTCAACCAAAGCCCTGCAGTGGCTTTCCATTCCACCCAAGTCCAGAGTCTTCATTGTGGCCAACAGAATCCTACAGTGATTGCTTCCTTAGCCATCTCTATAGTATCCCATCCTGTTTCTCTGTTCTGTACACTTTGTCTTCTTTATCATTCCTCAAGCTGAGCAAGTTTCTGCTTCAGCCTGTTTGCATTTAATGTTCCCTCTTGGAAAAACTTTCCTTCAGATTCATTACTTTGTCCCCTTTGGGTTTCTGCTCAGATATTGCATTATCTATCACCTTCCCTATTTCAACCTCCTCTATTTCAATATGTGATGCCCATATTAATTCAATCAATATGTCTTCTGTTAATATTTAAGATGGATAGTAAAGTGTAATAAATAGAAGAGGTAACATTTATTGAAGTCTTGCTATGTGCCATGAATTTTGCTTGCCTTTGCAGGTGGCCATCTATTTTATTAGTATACTCTTGTCGCCTGTAATAGGTCTTATCTCAGATGATACCTCCAACAAAAAACGTTTTATTAGTCAAGACAGAAGTGGTCTTCACTCCTCTTCATTCCCCACAGTGATCAGTCTGTACTATTCAGCTTCTCCTTGTGTTGTAGAGTTTTTATAAGTATCGTCTTGTAAGTACAATAAGACACTTAATGGCAGAGATCATATCTAGTACACATTTATATAATGCACAATTTGTAGGACAGCCTCACATTTCATAATCCACTTCAGATGTTTAGAAAGAGTTATATATACTCTTTCAAGTTGTGTAAGTGAATTCATATTGATGGAGAAATGTGATTTGGGGTCATACATTTCAGAACCTGAAAACCTGAAATCTCAGAGATAGTATCATCAAGAGAAAATTTGGTAAAGAGAAAAATGGAAATATTAAGGTAAAAAAGTCAATTGAATACATCAGTATAAGATTATATGAAAATAAGGTTGAATTATGTAGAATTATCTCCATGAGTCCATGGGCCCTTATCATATAAATATGACAAAATTGACATATTTATAAAGAATTCTGGAAGAAGTAGTGGTTATTCTCAATTTTCTTTTTTTTCTTCATACTTTGTTTACCATATCCTAGAAAAACTAATAACAAAATACTTTTCTTATGTTAGAGAGAAGAACACTTCTGGGTATTTGCAGTTTCCTTTTGGGCTATCAGTCTCTCTATAATCAGGTAATTTTTGTGTGGTTGTGATACTTTCAACTTGCCCCCTGTGAAAAAGTCTGAGACACTGAGTTAAATCCTCAGGGAGAATTTCTATATATACATAAGGTAAGAAAAAGTAACAACAAAATATCAAAACCCAAAAAAACCCTTCCTATTGGGTTGCCAGATTTAGCAAATAAAAATACAAAAGACAAGTTAAATTTGAATTTCATATAGACAACAAATAGCATTTTAGTATGTCTCATGCAATATTTGGGACATATGTATATTAAAAAATTACTCATTGTTCATTTGAAATTCAAATTTAATTGGTCCTGTAATTTAGCTGTCAACCCTACCTCCAAAGACACTGTTCTGGTAGCCTGTTTTAATGTCTCCATGAGCCTTGTCACTATTAGACATTGTGTTTATTGTCTGATTCACTCTCACTGGATGATGAGCTCCATTAGGGTAGGGTTCTCTTTCCATTGTTTACATCTGCATCCCCAGAATCTATCAAAGAGCTTAATACATAGTAGGCGCTCAATAAATTTCTAAGTATTTGTTATAAAGGCAAGAAAAAATAGAAAAATGAAAAGGTTAGAGAGTGGTAACATCTCGAGGGCATACTATTAGCTAGATGAGATTGGAATAGGCGTGGCGGGGGGGAAAAAAAGCCCAGGTAACTCTTCCATGCTTTCCACATTCAGAGGTGCAGGGGACAAAGGAAGAGGGAAGGGGTACTGTGTCACCGCCTTTCAAGAGGTTCTCTTAGAATGAGAAGACCCTGGGAAGCAAAGTCTGGATGAGCTAAAAAAAAAAAAAAAAAAAAAGCATTTTCTATGTGCCTTGGCAATGGAAGCAAGTGAAGTAACCAAAGGAAAATGCAACTGAGTGAAAAGAACAAGATTCCCTGCGTTTGGAATGGGGGTCAGAGGCAGTGCGCATCTTTCATTCACGTCTTCGGCCACTTTAAACTTTCTGCAACTTTAGGGCTGGCCTTATTGTCAGGTTCCAGAAATCTCTGGACCCTGAATATAGGAGAAACAATGCTCATATAAATATAGGGAGGGGAGGGGTGAGGGAGATGAAGTCAAGACAGAAGAAATCAAACTCTCCTTTTGGACCCGGAGCTCAACCGGGCGGAGGCAGCGGCGTTCAGCCCTAGAACTCAAACGGGTGCATCTCGCCTGTGGAAGCCCGGAGTCGCACAGGACCCGCGGGAGGCGCATGATCTCCGCTCCAGCTCCCTCCATCGGAACCGGACGGTGGCTGGCTGGTGCGTCCAGAGGCAGCCCTGAGCAAGCTGCCCGGGAACTACTGTGGCTGGATCCTAGGAAGCAGCCTGTCTCCACCCGGCTCTCGCCTGCCCGTCCTCCCATCTAGGAGCTGCAGGATGGTCCAGGGGTGCTCCCCCAGGGCTGCTGGTCCCGGGAATCTTCAGCCCCACGTCCCCCGTTGTGTGCGTCTCGCAGGGATCCAGTTTGGAGGCAGCCTCCGCCGCGGCTGACAGGTGCTGTCTGCAGGGCACCGGGCGCAGTGCCTGGTGCGCACCGGGAGGCGTGGACCTCCGAACCTGGAAGCTACAAGGAGAGGGAGGCAGGGCGCGGCCTGGGGGACTCTGGTGGCCTGGAGCCTTGGAGGTCGGAGCTAGAAACTTTGCAGGCTCAGCAGCTGAGATTCAGCGACAGAGCCAGCCCACCCCGGGAAGGTGCTGGGGGGAGAGGCAGCGCGGGAGTCCAGGGGCCGGAGAGCCCGGGCAGCGGCGTCTGCCCCCGGAGCTGGCCTGAAGCGGCGGGGCGCTCCCCGCTTCTGCTGCTGCGCCCCCCGCCGCCGCCTCCGCCGCCGCAGGGCTCCGGGCGGAGGCTCAGCCGGCGAGGGCGGTGGAGCAGGAGGAGGAGGCGGAGGAGGAGGAGGAGGAGGAGGGGAGAGGAGGAGCGGGGACTGGAGGATGGAGCCCCAGGCAGCCGCCGCGGGCTCCTCTGAGCCTGCCGCTGCACCCTCCTCCTTCCAGGCCCGGCTCTGGAAGAACTTGCAGCTGGGGGCGGCCAAGGGCAAGGGCGGCGGCGGCAGCGGGCACGCAGGGGGCCCGGAGCAGCGCCCCGCTGCCCCCCCATCGCCCTCCCCGCCACCCCCCGGGGGCAGGCGGGACGCACTGGCCGGAGGAGCAGGTGGCACGGGCACTCGGTGGATCAGCTTCAAGAAACGGAAGCAAGTGCTGGACCGCGTCTTCTCCTCCTCCCAGCCCAACCTGTGCTGCTCCTCCCCGGAGCACCTGGGGCCCGGGGGCCCCGCCAGAGGCGAGCAGGGCTCCACGCTGCGCCGCAGGCTCCGCGAGCACCTGCTCCCCGCGGGGAAGGGGCCCACCGCCGCAGGGACGCCTCCTGGCGGCCGCTCCCCGGACTCCGCTCCCTCTTCGTCCTCCGCTTCTTCCTCCCTGTCCTCCTCGCCGCAGCCGCCCCCGAGGGGCAGCCGTGGTCAAGATGAGGGCGCACAGCACCGGGGCGCCGCGGCGCACTTGTGCCACCAGAAGAGCTCCTCCCTGCCGGGCACCGCCAGCCTGGAGCAGCTGCTGGAGCCGCCTCCGCCCCCCGCGGCGGGGGCAGAGAGGGCACAGGGCGCCAGGGAGCCTTGGACCCTGGAGAAAGGCAGCCAGGTGAGTGCTGGGGGCCCGGGGCCATGCCTCCAGCTTTGGGGGACCGAGACCGTGAGACGCGCAGGACCGTGGGGGAAGGAAGCGTCCCGCACCTGCTTAGTAAAGATCAGTCTTGCACCCCGACTTTTCTTTGGGCAGAAACAGCTTTATGAGCTGACCCTGAAAGTGGAAGTTTTAAGGGTCGCCAAATAGGGGAGAAATGAAATTGGACATAACCCAGGGTACTTTTTGGAGGTCTTCTGGAAGGACTCTCCACTGTGTCTCACGTTGTCAAAAGAAAAACAAACCCCCAAACGTAAAAGGATGACAATCATGTATGAGCCAGCCTTGGGCACAAAGGGTTTGCTGGAAGGAATAGAAATACGAACAGGTGACTTAATGGTACACGTGCAGGTAATGGCGTGGGGAAAGCCTTAAAGCAGAGGTTTGCTGATTTCCCCGAGAGCCCTTCCCAAAACTTCCCGTGGCGAGTGGGTTGCTGCCCAACAAGTGAGCAGCCTGCGCGTCTCATCCGAGTTAGTGGAATATGGTCCCCTGGCCTTGGCTCAGATTTAAGAGTCGCCTGAAGCAGCCGCGTTGTGAGTGCGCTGCTTCCTGCATCATGTTGACTCTGGTCACGCAGGTTTAGTGGGACAGGAATTGAGTACACGTGTATGCAGGGCCCCTAAGGTGCTCCACTGGGCGCTGTGTGCACTCCCTTCGTCTTGTAGAGGGAGGCTCTCCTTTTGTAAAAGTTTATCAAATCGTGTTAGTGTTATCAAATATTTTGAAGTTCCATTCTGCCAGGGACCTAAAGAGCTTTCTTTCAATATATCTTACTTTATTTGAACTCAATATTTTGTCTCCGAATAGACATTTAGATTAATGTTATGCACATTAAAACTTTACAGAAAACATAAGGCTATGTTTAGAAGGATAAGATATGGGAGTAGATGTGCTTTTAGTTGAAACTGTTCATAGCTTATTAGTATGGTTTCAGAAAATAGAGCAGAATATGAGTGTTTGATTGTTTCATAAACACAGGCGAGTGCAGCAACCTGATGTTACTGATGTTCGAGGAAACTCCTGATGTTCTAGAAAATGTTTTTAGTTATTCTCAGAAGAGTAAGTAGAGATATTATTGACAAAAAGCCTAAACCTACCTTTTCCTTCATCTTGAAAAGGAATTTAAAAGAATTCTGTTTCTGGTCCCAAAAGTAAGGTGAAAAATTCATTTTAAAAGGATGTTTTAAATTCAGTAAAGGTGAATACTACCCTGTTTCCCCGAAAATAAGACAGTGTCTTATATTAATTTTTGCTCCCAAAGATGCGCTAGTTCTTATTTTCAGGGGATGTCTTATTTTTCCATGAAGAAGAATACAGTACACATTTATTGTTAAATGAAAGTAAAGGAAATTTATTACCTGTATATGATACGGTAGTACAGTAGTTATCAACACAAACCAGACAAACTGTGAATCCTACAGTATCAAGAATTTACTCATTTATTCAATGACAATTATGTCATCATCTTCTGGAACATCATCATAACAATCCAATTCCTGAATTTCCTGGTGAATTTCTTGTGACTCCATTTCTTTCAGAATCAGTGGACCAAATCTCTCATGTTTAGCCTGGGGGGGGGGGGGAGAGGGAGGGCTTATTTTCGGGAGATGCTTTATATTTCACTCAGAAGGAAACCTGTAAGTAGGCCTTATTTTTGGAGGATGTCTTATTTTCTGGGAAACATGGTATGTATTTAAAAAGTGTGTGTGTGTGTGTGTGTGTGTGTGTGTGTGTGTGTGTTTAGTGTGTACATAGCCAAATTATAAGAATTTTAGAGGGGGTACTGTTTACATTTGTTTTGATGAACTTTTGCAGTCAAGAATAATAAGACAGCAAATAATAACTGGATTAGATCAGATGGTAGATATATTATTGCAAATGTTAACTTACTAATTACTTTGCAGCTCATTGAAGTAAGATATTTTCAAAGCAAAAGCAGAGAATTCTGAATTGGTATTTATGTTTATTTTTTACCAGAAAGTTTTCAGACACCATCAATATTTATTTTAAAAATGCTGCTGTATAAATTTGAATTTTATATTCAAAAGACCTAAACCTATTTTGGAAAAGTCACTAAACATTATTGTGTGTGCCTTCACCATATACTGGGCACTTTATAGCCATACTAGTACTTGATTTAATCCCTGTAGCAGTCCTACATGATCAAAGTTCTTGTTTCCATTTTGATGGATTAGGAAACCAATGCTTGAAGAAATTCTAGAGTTACATGGTTAATACATGACAGAGGTTTTGTAGTCAAGTCATTCTCCAGAATTTCCCCCCATGACTACAGTTACCTTTGACAAGTTTTAGAACTTATGTTTCTGAGATGAATTCAGTCCTAGTGATTAACAATTAACAATACTTGCAAGTTTATGTATGTTCTGGATTTTTTTCTTCATCCCTAGAATCAATTCTATGATGGATTAGCTATATTAACTTGTTCTTTGTTCTCTGTGATTCACTCGTTGCATATCTATTATGTCATATTCACAAATGGCATTAATCATACCATCTGTAGTTCTAAAGAAGCTCTTAATTATAAAGAACTAGCATTTTAGTGAAGACACAGAAGAAATACAAAAGCTGAAGTATCTTTCAAAGAATGGGTGAAAGGTGGGTATTGGCAGGACAGTAAGCCCTGAGAGGCTTGTCCCTTGCCAGTTATAGTTCCGGGGAGAGGCACTGTTGGTGATTTCCAACATCTGCTAATGGAGCCTTGTTCTCTGAGAACTGGATAGTTTTCTCTGTCATGAGTCACAAATCCAGGTTTGAGCAGCACTTGCTCACTGATGCAGAAGAGAGGATTCCTGAGTCCTCTAAATATTTCTCTGCCCAACTCAGTGAGCCTCTCACCTCTCTGAATGGGGAAGAGGAAGGAATAGGGTTGAGACCTGGAATAGGATGAGCACTCACCAAGGTGCCCAGGAGTAGGCTTAGCTCTGTGGCACCCTTCCACAGCTCCCTACATACCTCAGAGATCTTCCCTGGCTCTCTCAGCACATAATCTGCAAAAATACTTGGGCATGGGATAGAGGGTATAGCACATGTAGATTTCAGTTTTATTCACAGTTCCCAAGAACAGATGGGAACACATGAAAGACAAGACGATGAAAGTACAAAATCCATCTTCAGGTTGCCTAGATAAAAAGAACTTTATTTCAAGGGAGAAAGAACATTTGTTGCAAAAAACAAGACAAATTGCTCAATTTTTCTCTTGTTCTCTGCTTGATCCTGGCATCAACCATGTTCTCAAACATTCCCCACCTCTCCATCCCTTAGCCCAGCATGAAGCCCCAACAGCATATGTGCACATACTCTGACACTGGGTAGAGATGTTGAGGAGAAGCCAAAAATCAGATTGGGTTGCTGGGGCAAGAGATTTGGAAGTCAATGCTGAACAGTGATTAAATCAGAACAAGCTACCTCCCATGCCCCTGCAAACCCTCATGCCATTATGTTTTCTTTAGCCAAATATACCTTTGCAATGCACTATAACACATTTGACAATGTATTGCATATTATATAACATGCATTATTTAAAATAATCTGCCTTAGGGAAAAAAAAAACCCCTTTCGTCCCACTGATTCTAGTTCACGTGCAGGGCCATATTGTCACACCAGATGCATTTCATTTTCTGCAGCACAGATGGGAAAGATGCTTTCTCAATTTGTGTGCATATAAAAAATATGCCAATTTTATGTATTCTGTCTTGATGAGTTACTAAAATTATATTCTGCTAGAATCAGGGAATCAGTATTTTAAGATAAAGAGTGAGGAATGAATATATTGCATTTTTTTGTATTTTAACAAAAGCCTGTAGTGATCATGAATGTTAAACTTTTATTGTTTTCCCTTTACATTTATTTTGTTAAAATTGTATTCATAAAGGAGTAAAAATGTTTTATTCAAGGTGTTATAGAAATGTTTCAAAACATAGTGAGAGGAATATTCATTCACTGGGATGAAATTCCTGAAACACATCTCTATGCCCTGACAAAAACTGGAAAGATATCTTCTTACATTAAGTCTCCATGTGAAATAGATCTCGCTTTATTCATTAGCTGACCTTTTAAAGAAAGCCTGTGCTTTCAAAAATTATTTTAAAAGGTTATTTGGGATACTTTTTTACTATTTATTTTCAGGTATCTTCAATATTACTTCAAAGAACATAATCTTGGGAAGGCCCATATTAAAAAAGAATTCCTAACAGAAATGATTAAAACCATTTAAAAATCTACAATTACAAAAAGCTGCCCCAAATAACATTAGTAGCTTTTTCAAAATGTGTATGTGGGGGTCGGGGTCGGGGGGAGATGAGACCTTAGGACATTTTGGAGCAGCGTATGTAGTGATGTTTGGTGTGTTGTAGCATTCTTGAAAAATACTGGCATCTTCAGGTCCTTCCAGAGAAAGGGAGTGAAAAGAGTGAGTAAGAGGTTACCTTAGAGTGAAGTTATTTTCCTGTAACCTTTAGTTACTTTCCCATGTATCTGGCAGATTTGAGTAGAACTATAAATATTGCATAAAGGGAGGTGTTATAACATAGTTATTGTATGAAATGGGCTTGAAACCTAGCTTAATAAACATCAGCAGTGTTTATTAAGAACCATTGTTATTATTATTGAACAGTATATTAAAGTTTTGCCACTGCCACCATTACAAATAAGTGGGTGTTAAAAAAACAACAAAAAATCCATGGATCTTTGCTGGTCCTTTTTACTTATAATTTCAGATATTTTACTTGCTGTGATGGCAAAAATAGCTCAAACTTAACCAAGGCAGTACTGGTGACATCATAACTTCTTAATACAGTAAAAAAAAAAAAAAAAAATATCTATATATAACATTACTTTTGGTAATATGTGCACATTATCGTGGAAAAATTAATAAATACTTTGAGGGATGAAATAGGATCAATAGATTTATGAAGGAAATAGAACAGACATTCCTC